ATTAAACGGAGGCCAACCATCTATCAAAGGCAGAGTTCCAAGCACTGGTTATGAGGGTGCTCAAGAAACTTAGCGAGGGCTTACACAACGATATAGTTAGCGTAAAAAAGGACATAGAAATCGTTTTTTAAAAGTCAGGAATGAAGAATCCAATAACTGAAATGAAGAATACACTAGAAGGAATCAACGGCTGATTAGAATCAGCAATTTGGAAGATAAAGTAGCAGAAAACGCCCAATGAGAACAGCAAAAAGAAAACAGAATCCCAAAGAATGAGAAGATTTAAAGGGACGACGTCAAGCCTCCCAGCATACGCTTCACAGGGGTGTGCACCAAATTTTTGAAAGGTAATTGTTCAAGCGAATGGTAATTGACGATTTCACCTATGTAGAAGTGACACGTGACAGCGAGAGCAAACGGAACAGAAAATGAAACAGAAGGGTGTCACCGTAAGAGTCACGTGCTACGCACGAAGTGGTATGATGCCACTTAACGGTAGGTTGTCATCATTTAAAGATGTCTATTTTAAACCCTGGAGCAGCTAGTGAAACAAAATAAGATAGATCTAGCGAACGAGTCAATCACAGAGAGAAAATGGGATCAGAATAAAAATCTGTTCTGACAAAGCCCGGGTGGCTGATGCGAAAGTTCTGATTTAAATAAAGTGAAGGATAACGATGCATTCACGGTACACGGACTGCGCTTTCCGTCCACGGAGCCTTTGTCACTCGGCGCGCCCTAGTCCTTTCTCCCTTTGTCCCCGCTCTTTCCTTGGCTTTTTCTGTTATTTTCTGTCCCAGTGATTTTTCGGGGTCCAAACCAAGGGCCATCTTTCCTTAGGACTTTTCCCTCTTCCTCCGGCAAGACCTGGCCTTGCTGCTTCCCCAAGCCCAGCCCCCCCCAGCTCCCGCTCGGGCAAAGCCCTCATGAATCTGCTTGGAACACACGCGGATAATGAGTTTATCGTTGGTTGCGTTCCCACCGTGGGCCGGGCCTGTGCTGCTCTCACGCGCTTTTAACCCTCTGTGCGCCTCGCCCCCGCTTCTCTGCGGACGGCGGCAGGTGCGCCTTCCCCACAGCAGCGCCTCGTTCCCGGAGCAGGAAATGAGCCCCCGGCTCCTCGCGGCCCGGAGCCCGATTCTTCACAAATACAAAACTACACACGGTGGCGTGAACACGCCTCCCCCCGCGGAGCGGGCCCCGGGCTCCCGTCGCCCTCCCCAGGCTCGTGGTGACACCGCTCGTCCCCGCTCGCACGCGGACGCGGGCTCCCTTCTCGGCCTCGGCTGCAGGTGGGGCACGAGTGAGTGTTCCCAGCAGGTGCCCCCCACCCCCGCCCCACACCGGCCCAGCTCCCCCAAGCGCAGCTATTTCAGGCTTTCGCCCTGAAAATTAAATTCGCGCTGAGCAGGGCCCGGCGCCGAGATGCGTGGAGCGAAGGCGCCCCCTACTGCATCCAGCCTGGAGCCGCAGCGCCTGACGCCTCCGTACAAGGGACGATGCTGGCTGGGGCCGTGGGGACTCGCCTGGCAGACGGCTCTTTCTTAGGGGAAACACTGAATTTCACATTGAAACGCACGTTACTGAAACGGCAACCAATATTCTTCTAAAACGTGGCTTTCTATGCGGTTAGGATACGTCTCATTGTCTCACAGTCCCCTCGGGTCTGTCTGGCCACGGGCTCAACTATTTACATGTTGATAAACACTAAGAGCAGAGACTGAGTCAGAATTTAGTCACAGGGAGGAGGTAAGAATTGGATTACTTTTTTTTTTCTTTTCGCAAAAATTACTGAATGACTGTTCAGTCGTCGTAAAGCTTGAAATCGCTCGTTATCTGAACTGTGTGGTTTGCCTGATGCTGTTTCCTCCGGGGAGAGAAATCGCTGTCGCTGGTGTCACTAGGCTTAGAATCCTAACACCTAACAGGTAACAAGTAGATCGGGTCGATTATAGATAGAAATTTAGCGTTGACTCTGATTATTTTTAATTTAATGATTTTCACTGTCGATGAACTTGTTGGTCACACATCTTTTGAGAAATCAGAAAATAAGGAAATGCGAATATTCAATTCATCCACTTCAGAATCCAAAAGCCTTTCGAATTAGCATGCTATCTCACGCGCTGGAAGTTCTATCTCTTCTAGAATCAGATATTTAATACCGTGGCTCCATGTACATTTAGAGTACCGCTCCCTGTGCATCTGCAACATTTATAGATTTTATGTCCTCTTCCTGAAATATATTTACAAGTTCTCATTTTCGGAGACTCTCAGGATTTTTGGAACGTGCCAAAGCACCAGCAGGTAGCTTAGATGTGTAATGCATGGCGTCAGACACAGCTGGAGAGCAGAGAACGCCCCGCCCTGAAAGCAGAGCCAGAAATGGGCCTTTTCTCACAATGCCTGCGGTCAAGGTGACTATAAACGAGGCGGTGTCACAAAAGATGTGGAATAATAGGGCAAACGCTCGGACGCTTCCACCTGTGCTTTGCCTCTGCATCCATCTTGTTTGCGCCGCTCCGAGGGGCCCCTGCTCCCGGCCGGGTGTCCCTAGTGCCAGCTCACCTCTCAGGTTCTGCGGCGCCCAAGACGCCGCCG